GGACCTTGCAGATAGGGCCTCGAATTGGGCGTCATTTGATTGGGACCTTTCTGATAGGGCTTCGAGTTTGACTGTGCGACTGGAGCGGGCTTTTTTGGAACCACCTTTGGGGCTGGTTTTGCTGGAGGCGTGGGTGGTGGTGGTGGTGGTGGTGGTGGTACCTTCGGGTTTTCTTTAAGTCGCTTTTGTGTCGGTTCTCCTGCTGTTGGTGCTGGTGGTGCAGGTTCAAATGCCATCTCCAGCTCCATGGGCTGTGAAGTTTCATTGGAGGTTGGTCGTTCCGGAGGCGGCGGCGGCGCCTTCATGGCCGACGCCTTCAGTCTGCCGATGAAGTCATCCATCACCGTGGCTTCAATGTTAAGTGTCAGAGCCTTATTGCGCAGGTTGATGTCATGGGAGAGCAGAATGACGGTCTTGTCGCTGTGCAGTTCTCTCAGGCGGAGGCAGCACTCCACAATGCGGTCGTCGTTGCCCAGAACTTGAAAAGTGTGCTCCGACATTCGGGTGGCGGGATTTTTGTCCGGTTCGCCCTTCACAAAGCCGTTAGGTATAATCAGTTGAGCGTTGAGAAACTTGGCTGCACTCTGCGCCGTTTGATGCTTCGCTCGGCTTTTATCACTCTTAATGCCATCCAGCTCCTGCAAGACCACCATGGGGATGATCACTTTGTGCACTAAAGAGCCGCCGCCGCCACCAGCTTTGCTTTTGTTATTGCAATTGTTGACCATCGTCTTGATGCCGTTCAGATCGTCCAGAAGGACATTGGTGTCGAGAACGCAGATGTACACCTCGCTCAGCTTGCGGCGTGCTTTCAGCTTCTGTCGTCGTCGAGCGTTTTTCGAAGTTGGCGCTGGAGCTGGAGGGGCACTGCTGCCTGAGGTGGAAGGCACTGGAAGGCCTGCTGGTGCTGGTGAACCGTAGTAGACCGTGGTAGTGGGCGGATTGGAGTTGGGCTTCACGTCACCTGAAAAACAATGGTGGGATTAGTTCACAAGTATTAACAACAACAAAACAAGCGACGATTAATTACCCGAAGAAGTACGCTTAGCTGATGTTGGAGGTGCTGCTGCTGCTGCTGGAGGTGCTGGTTGTGGTGCTGGTTGTGCTGGTGGTGGCGCTTGATAATCGTCCTGAAAGTCCATATCAACGTCCATCGACTCCTCCTCCTCTGCATAGGCAGAGCCCGAGTACCCATCCTGACCACCACNGGTGCTGGTTGTGCTGGTGGTGGCGCTTGATAATCGTCCTGAAAGTCCATATCAACGTCCATCGACTCCTCCTCCTCCTCTGCATAGGCAGAGCCCGAGTACCCATCCTGACCACCACTGTTTACATAACAGCTGGCCATCTCGTTCCACGCTGATGGTGATGATCTCTAGGATGATGGTGATGATGGTGATGACGAGGAGAAAGAATCAGCACAGCTGAAGCGAGTCGATGCATGTGTAAGTGTAAGTGAAAGCGTGAGGAGCACTTTAATAGCTTTAGTAGCTAATCAAGCATTTGATAAGACAAATGAAGCAAAGAAACCAAAGTAAACCACAGCAAAAAATTGCCTGGTGGCCCGATTTGAGCAACAAATTGCAGACTGCACTGGCTGAACTGGCTGCACTGGCTGCACTGGCTGCTGCGTTTGCTGACTTTGCACCTGCAAGAGAGGACTTTGCTGAATCGCTGNATAGCTTTAGTAGCTAATCAAGCATTTGATAAGACAAATGAAGCAAAGAAACCAAAGTAAACCACAGCGAAAAATTGCCTGGTGGCCCGATTTGAGCAACAAATTGCAGGCTGCACTGGCTGAACTGGCTGCACTGGCTGCTGCGTTTGCTGACTTTGCACCTGCAAAGAGAGGACTTTGCTGAATCGCTGAACATGAAAACACAACCGTAGTAGGNGCAAGAGAGGACTTTGCTGAATCGCTGAACATGAAAACACAACCGTAGTAGGTTTGCCCGAAGTGGACAAGTGTCCGAAGTGTCCGGGTAGGCGGAGCCAGTCAATGCAGCAGCGGCGGCGGCAAATCATGTTCTTCTGATCATTTTAACTTTTTTTGTTATCAAAGTGATGATCACAATCAAAAACGAACGTTTTATAGTTTTCTGCTGTTGTTGCTGCTGCTGATCATTATCAGCATTGATCAGCTTCTGCAGCAGACAGAAGTCACGGTGTGAAAGAAGTGTTGAGGAACTTGGTCATCCAGGTCCACAGGCCCATGCCCGTAGCTCTCTTATCGGTCTGGTCAGGATGATAAGTGCCAGACCAGAAATGGCGCCATCAATTTCCACCTGAAATGGTCAGCTGGGCGCTGACGGCTATTTCCACTTCTTGGCGACAATGGCGGCGGCTTCTGATTGGTTGACGTTGGAGCAACGTTAGCACTCGGCTCGCTCGCTCGTTTGCTTTTCAGTTCTTGCGTGTCATTTGGTTTTTGCTCTCTGCCGCGTTAACAGTCGCCTGATCCGGCCGCCATTTAGAGCCCAAACCATCTCCAATCTCACCGGTTCCCAACTGTGTCCTCCTAGCTTGTGTAGTGTCAACCATCGACCAGAATGGCAGAATCGGTGCTTCACGAGCAGCTGGTTCGGCAAGGCCTGGGCAGCGGGAGCGAGGGACGACCGGTGGAGCTGCTTTCAAACTTCTTCAAAATCACCACTAACGGCAAAGTGGTCTACCACTACTCCATCGGTTTGCAGAAGATGGCCTACCGCCCAGAGGACCCCAAGTCGGGAGATATCAAACAGTACGTTCTCGCCCCCTTGCAACCGGGACTGGAAGTGTTTATCAGAAAGTGTTCTGCAGAAATCTTAGGCGCGTATTTCCAGCAAAACGCTGAAGTGTTTGGCCGTACCCCATTTGTTCACGATGGAGCCCAAAAGCTGTACTCGACCCGTCCACTGGACCTGAAAGATGTCCCTCAAGTTCAAACGTTCACCGTCGGTGGTCGAGAGGCTCGATTCGCTGTCACCATCTCGCTAGTTGGAGAGATTGACCTAAGAGAACTGGACAACTACTACGCTGCCGGTGGTAAGGCTAAAACGCTTTCACCCGCCATCATTCCCGTCTATGAGCAGGTGTTTCGCTTTCTTATCGAACAGCAGTTCACCGCTTACCAGAGCAGCTTCTACGATCCACTTCAGCGTGAGCGAAGCAAAAGCAGCCGCGCCTTTGAATTTGTCTGCGGCTTCTCCATCTCCGTCCGCATGACCGAGTTTGGCCTGGCGCTCAACATTCACTCGAATCGAAGCTCGGCCATGGTCTCTCAGCACATGACCACCGTGGACCGCTTTGTGAAGACCTACCTTGGCCTGGATCGGCTGGACGCCACCCTCAGCGAGGTTCAGCTGAAGCAGGCGAGCAAGCTCCTCCGCGGCCTAAAGGTGAAGACCACGCACACCGGCGAGGAGCAGTTCTTCATTATTGACTGTCTGAGCAGCGAGACGCCCACTACGCACACCTTCAAGATGCCCAGTGATGATGACCAGAGCAGTGGCGGCGGCAAAAGCATCAGCGTTCGAGAGCACTTCCAAAGCCGCTACAACATGACGCTTCTCCCCAACCTGAACCTGGTGAAGACGACCGCCGGAAAGAAGGGCGGTGACGGTGGCTACAAGATTCACCTCCCCATGGAGAAGTGCCACTTTGTGGAGCACCAGTTCATCAACGACCTGAAGCTGCCGACGATGCTGCAGACGGAGCTGATCGAGCTCTCCTCCTCGCCGCCGAACATCTACTTTGCCCAGGTGGCCAAGTTTGCCGAGCTGATCAGCCAGATCGACCCTCCTCTGCTCGGCCACTTTGGCCTCCAGCTGACGACGCTGCCGGCGAAGGTGCCCGCCCGCGTGCTCGACCTGCCGCCGGTGCTCGACAACCAGGGCACCTTCTACCGGGTGGCCGAGCCGCCGGAGCAGTGGGCGGTGGTCTGCTTTGACCTCTCCCTCACCAGTCACCAGCTGACCGGCTTCATCGAGTCGATGCGCGAGGTGGCGAAAGGGCGCGGCATGAAGCTCTGCAAGCCCTTTCCCATTACCACGGTGGAGATCAAGGACTGCTACAGCATCTTCAACTGCTTCGACAACATGCGAATCCTGACGCGCGTCAGCTTTGTCGTCTTCATCCTTCCCAGTTGTAAGTTATTACTTTTAGAAAAATTTATTCTCATTTAATGGGTGCTTTTAATGTTTACCATTTTTTTAGTCTGCCCCGAAATGCCGAATGGCGAAGTTTACAAGGCCGTCAAGTACTTCTCCGACACGGAGGTGGACTTTATCAGTCAGTGCGTTCGAGCGGAGAAGGCAAAGGCGCCGCCTAAGGGCTACTTTGAGAATGTGCTCGACAAGATCAACGCCAAGATTGGCGGTATTGTACGTGGTGGTGGTGGTAACTGATTGAGTGTGATTTACTTTTTTAACACCGTTTTCGCCCAACCCTGCAGAACACCGCCGTCAGCGAGGACTACCTGAAGGGCCTGCTGCTGCCCTTTGAGGTGAAGGAGACGATGCTGGTGGGCATCGACGTGAACCACCCCGGGCAGTTCGACAAGATCGCCGCCTCGATTGCGGCCGCCGTGGGCACCTCCGACTCGACCATGACCGCCTACTCTTGCTCGGTGCGCGTCCAGGAGAAGTTCCACAGCGAAGCGGTGGAGCACATTGGCGAGATGGTGGGCTCGCTGGTGGCGAACTTCAAGGAGCGCAATCGAGGAGTGCTGCCCCGGAATATACTCGTCTTTCGCGACGGCGTCAGCGACGGCTACTTTGGGCGCATCGAGGCGGAGG